TGTTGTTGTTGTTTTGAGACAGTCTCTCTCTGTCGCCCAGGCTGGTCTCCGACTCCTGAGCTCAGGAAATCCTCAGGCCTCTGTCTCCCAAAGTGCTAGGATTGCAGGTGTGAGCCACTGTGCCTGGTCTGCACTTAAGTTTTAAAGAGGCATTGAATCCCAAGCTTAGAGTCATTTCAGCCAGGTGCAGCGAGTGGGATGTGCTTTTAGTCCCAGCTACTCCATAGGCTGAGGTGGGAGGATGCTTGAGCCCAGGAGGTCAGGGCTGCAGCGTGCAGTAACGGAGCCTGTGAATAACCATTGCACTCCAGCGTGGGCAACAGAAAGATACCCTGTCTCAAAAAAAGAAAAAAATTATTTTATAAAACACTGAAGGGAGTAAAGGGAAACAAGCTTAGGGGAAAGAGTCTTGGAGTCCAGTTCTGACTCCAACTCAACGTGTAATCTTAGGCAAGGCATGTGTCTGAACTTCAGGGGATTTAACACTTTGTTGAATACATATTTGCCAGGACCTGAGTTTTGTTTATTCAAAGTATCAGACTCTTCATCTTCACAGTCAAAAAGGTTTTGCAAATAGAACTCTCAGTCTTCAGGTTACAGGTGATAAAGAGCAATTTCTTTTAGTTTTTTGACAGAGTCTCACTCTGTAGCCCAGGCTGGAGTGCAGTGGCACAATCACAGCTCACTGCAACCTCAACCTCCTAGGCTCGAGTGATCCTCCCTCTTCAGCCTCCTGAGTAGCTGGGACCACAGATAAGTGCCACCATGCATGGCTAGCTTTTGTATGTTTTCACAGAGACAGGGTGTCACTATGCTGCCCAGGCTGGTCTCAAACTCCTGGGCTCAAGTGATCCACCCACCTTGGCCTCCCAAAGTGCTAGAATCATTGGTGTGAGCCACCGCACCCAGCCCTGAGAGCAATTTTCAATACAGCAAAAGTCTTCATCAAAATTTACCATGAGAAGAGGGCCCATGTATCTTTTTGCTGTTGTTGTTTTTTAACTATATTTACTTATTTGGGACAGGGTCTCACTCTGCCACCCAGGCTGGAGTGCAGTGGTGCAATTATAGCTCACTTTAACCTGTAACTCCTGGGCTCAAGCAATCCACTTGCCTCAGCCTCTCAGGTAGCTGGGACTATAGGTATGCACCACCATACCTGGTTATTTTAAAAATTTTTGTAGGGACAGACAAACTGTATTACCAGGGCTGGTTTCAAACTCCTGGGCTAAAGCAATCCCTTTTCTTTCTTCCTTCCTTCCTTCCTTCCTTCCTTCCTTCCTCTTTCTTTCTTCCTTCCTTTCTTTTTCTCTCACTTTCTCTCTCCTTCCTTCCTTCCTTCCTTCCTTCCTTCCTTTCCCTCTCTCTTTCTTTCTCTTTCCTTTTTTTTTTGAAGAGGAGGACATGGAAGTGGGGGAGGGGAAAGGAGAGTGTCCCTTTTCCTGACATGTATTCATTATCTCACCCCACTCCATGTCATAAAATAGCTATAACTCAGTAATATTGAGAAGTCTTTAACCAAGTTTAATAGTTGTGAAATTCCTTTTTATTTCCATAGGCTCTCTTTGCTTGAAAATATATGTTCTTTCTTTAACAACAATGTTGGTTTAAAAAAAATTAAAATATGTAACAAAAGATGGAAATAAGAAAAAGTGAATAAAAAAGCATTAAAGACTGTTGCATGTATACAGTACTAAAAATGCTGGTGACATGAACTTTCTCCTCTCATTTGTGATCTCTAACTTACGTTTTTAAAATGAGATTTGGATAAAATTATTTACTGGCCAGGTGCAGTGGCTCATATTTATAATCCCAAGTGTGGGATTATAAGAGAGGCTAAGGTGGGAGGATCACCTGGGCCCAGGAGTTTGAGACCAACCTAGGTAACATGGCAAAACTCTGTCCCTACAAAAAATACAAACATTAGCCAGGCATGATGGTCTATGCCTGTAGTTCCAGCTACTCTGGAGGCTGAGAAGGGAGGATCGCTTGAGCCTGGGAGGCTGAGGCTGCAGTGAGCAGTGATTGCACATCAGCCTGAGCAATAGAGTGAGATCCTGTCTCAAAATAAAACTAAAACCCATTTACTGTGCCCCAACATTACATCGTTATTGGATGCATTATAGAAATTTGGAAAATACAAAATAGAAGACTAGGGGAAAGACAGAATCCATTTTTTTTTTTTTTTTTTTGAGACAGAGTCTCGTGCTATCACTCAGGCTGAAGTGCAGTGGTGTGACCTTGGCTCAGTGCAACCTCCACCTTCTGAGTTCCAGCAATTTTCCTGCCTCAGCCTCCCTAGTAGCTGAGACCACAGGCATGTGCCACCACTCCCAGTTAATTTTTGTATTTTTAGTAGAGGCAGGGTTTCACCATGTTGGCCAGGCTGATCTCAAACTCCTGACCTCAGGTGATCCTCCCGCCTCAGCCTCCCAAAGTCCTGGAATTATAGGCATGAGCCACATTTAAAGAAGTAAATGTAAATATACTTTTCTCTTTATATAAGCAATACATAGCTGGGCATAGTATCATCAGCCTATGGTTCCAGCTACTTGGGAGGCTGAGAAAGAAGGATTATTTAAGCCCAGATGTTTGCAGTCCAGCCTGGGCAACATAGTGAGACCCCATCTCTAAAGAAATTATATGTGCATTACATATATATATGTAATCCATTCCATTGTCTATTCAGGGAACTCAAAAGCATAGAAATGTAAGAAGTGAGAAGTGAATCCCCTATTATTCCATTCAACCAAAGATAAATTATTATGTTTAGTATATACTTTTAGACTCATTTATATTAATATACAAATGTATTTGCACATATACATATATATGTTTAACAGAATAGATTATTATGCATATCTTGTATAGTAGGCTTTTTTTTAAATACAAACAGTCCTATAGCATTTATTGTCATCTTGTAATAACATAAGGGTAATCAGAACAATATGAATAAATGTTCATATTGGCAAAGGACATCTAAAAACAAACTGTATCCTTCTCAACAATTTCTCACTTCATTGATCATTTCTAGTTGGAGAGACACTTTGTAGCAGAGTAATATTATCTCCTTTTAGCATCATCCAACCCAGTTGTTTTCTTGACTTTGTTTTAGAATGAATCTCTTCTGCATCACCTAATACAAGGTTCATATACTTGTCAACACCAATAATACAGCCTTCTATCCGCATATTCACTTGCTCATAGGGCCACACCTGAATCCGCGATCTGTTTCGTAAGTATCTGAAGATGAGGTTGATGGGCTGCACCATAACCTTCTGCACTTTCTGGCCCTGGCCACGGTACGCCATGGTGGAATTTCACAAAGAGCACACCCAGATCCTGCGTCTGAAAGCAACTTCCAGACTTTTTTTACACTTAGAGATATATGTTAACATCTTTTCCATATGTCTGTTTCATTAAGTGGCATAAAAGAACATGCAATTATTAATAACCAACTAGTGATGAACATTTTAGGTTCAGTATTTTGCTATTATGCACATCCTACAAAGAACATCCTTGAACCTAGTTATCTTAAGTTCCTAAGATAGCTTAAGAACCTAGTTCTTATCTTAAGAACCTAGTTACCTACTTCTGTACATATATCTGAGTAAAATAAATTCTAAGCATTTGTCTCTCATACACATTGCAGAAATTATTTTCTCTAACTTGATGTTTGTGTTTTAACTTCATGTTTTTGCCATTTAGAGTTTTTTAGGTAGTCAAATTTGTCTCTTTCAGTTTATAAGTTTTAGCCTTGGCGCTATTCTAAGCAGGCACTACCTCCATCAAGCTTGTAACAATCTTTTCAGCTGGGCATGGTGGCTTCCGCTTGTAATTCCAGCACTTTGGGAGGCCAAGGTAGGAGGATCACTTGAGGCCAGAAGTTTGAGGGTAGGCTGGACAACATAGTGAGGCCTCATCTCTACAAAATAAAAAAAGTTAAAAAATCAGCCAAGTGTAGTGGTGCCCTTCTATAGTCTCAGCTACTGGGAAGGCTGAGTGGGGTGAATCGCTTGAGCCCAAAAGGTTGAGGCTGCAGTAAGCTGTGACAGAGTGAGACTGTCTCAAACACACACACACACACACACACACACACACACACACACACGCCTGTTTTCTACCAATATTTTATTACAGTGTTACATTTTTACTTATTATATTTTAATGTAACAAAAATGTAACAAATAAAATATTATTACATGTTTACACTGTTAAGGTCATCCATACTGTTTCTTTCTTTTTCTTTTCAGAGGAAAACAATTTGAAACAAACTGCCCTTCAGAGAGGCTCCCACCAGCAGTGAATGACAGAAGAAATTCTCACAGTCCTCCATTATTCTTCATAGTGTCTTTCTTTATACTATTTGTCAATCTGAAAAGAAAAAACCTGTTTCCTTCTTCTTATACTTGACATCTTCTTTGTTTTTCGTAAAATCAATCTCTTTTTTGTTTCTGTTTTGGAGACAGGTTCTCTCCCTGTTGCCCAGGCTGTGGTGCAGTGATGCTATTACATTGCAGCCTCAACCTCCTGGGCTCAAACAATCCTCCTGCCTCAGCCTCCCAAGTAGCTGGGACAACAGGTGCATGCCATCAAGCCTGGCTAATTTTTTTTTTTTTTTTTTAATTTTTTGTAGACATGGGTCTCACTGTGTTGCCCAGCCTGGTCTCAAACTCTTGGGCTCAAGTAATCCACTCACCTTGACCTCCCAAAGTGGTGGGATTACAGATATGAGCCATCATGCCCAGCCCAACCTTTTAAGATATGTTTATTTACAATTATTATTTTTTCTCTTGAAATGTATTTAATTACATGCTTGGTTTATTTTTCTCCTGGGCTTTAAAAAAATGAATTTGTAAGAGTTTGTCATATTTTCAAATACATTTAGAACAAGATCCAGAAGAAGAATGTGAAGGATATGGACCCTTTTAAAATTGTATCTGTTGCAAATATTTCGAATTGTATTTTAAACTGTATGTGATCATTTGGAGATAAAGCTGGAGATTGTGCAATTTCAGCTGTCTTTCAGAGGTAAGCACGAAGGGGTTACGAGGGGGTGGTGCTGGGTAGAGAAAACTTTCCAAAGAGTTTATGCTAAATAGCAAGACAAAGCAAATCCACAAACAGCAAAACAAGTGAGCACAAAGCATGGCTAATTCTCATGCTAATAGTCATCTGTTGATGGTGTCTTCAGGTGTATTAGTCCTCTGGGCTCAAGCCAAAAACAGCCTAGGGAAACAGACAGAAGAGAAGAGGGGCTAAAAAGAAGGGAAGAGAGAGAACTCAGAGGTCTTGGGGACTCTCCAAGCCCGTGATACTTTAGAGCATGCTCTTGGGACACACTTGGAGATTGCTGTAGACTGAGAGAGTGCATTTTGTTTCTGCTTTGATTTACCCTTGTGATGCATGGATGAGAACAGAGAATTAAATACATAAAGTACTGTGCAATGTAATAAAAATGTGTTTTTTCTCTTAAGCCAGAGCTCTAGGATCATAAAGCTGTATTGGCTTCAAATTACACCCTCTCCCCTCACTCCCACCAGCAATCAGAGACCAGTGTATTCTACTCACCATGGAATCAGGTCAGAACAGAAAACAAATTATTTTCGTATGTAAGCCTTGCCTATAATGCTCAATGTCTCAAGATTGTGATTTTGCATCTCACTCTTTCCAAGGTCTGGACTCTCACAGGGACACCTGGCTATGTGTGACATCATCATTAGCACCTCTATGTTGTATTAGAATGTGGACACATAGGTAATAAGAACATGATGTTTCCCATCCCACTGTACCCATGCCACTGATGTTGGCACATTATGTCAATGTTAGGCAGCTGTACCAGGAAACATCTCCTTTATACACTTGCTGCAAGAACACAGCCTCAACATATTTATGCCAGATAAAGTCTCCCGATTTGACCTTTGTCACTATTTGCCGAGATTTTGTTTGTTATGAGTCTACTAACAACACTGTTACTTAACATTATCTGGTTATTATAGTAGAATGGTTGGAAAACTTTCTGAATGGCAACGAGTGGACATCCGTTCACCTTTATGGCTACTGAATTTCGGTGCATCCCTGCTGTCCGTCCAGTCCCACTATGGCCTCACTACGACCGTGACCAGCAACTGAAAATCCACTGGAGTGTAATGGTCATGGCTGATGTCTTTTGCTTATTCCTGAATCTTAGAACTATTACTAATAGTCTACGTAATATATGCTAAATAGAATTAGCTAAACAAGACACTCTATGCTGCTTGGAGCCTTTCAGGGAAGACTCGTGATCTTCCACCACCTTGGAAGTGCAGGGCAATCTCACCAAGTCAAGTACTCGTAGAAAAGTGTGGCTGACATCACTATGTGAGGGATGCACATATATATTCTGCATATTCCAGGGACTCCTGGCTGCACCTGCAGCCATCTTTTTTTCAATCCCTTTCATGTCTTTTCTAGAAGAAAAATAAGTCTCAGTTTAGTGCTGGTGTGTCCCTAACCCCTTTGTAGTGCTACAGCCTTTGGCAGTTAACAGTTTTAGTTAGAATTTTTTAAAAAAGATTTGTTTTCATTTTTACCTTTAAACGTAAATTTATTTTATGTTTAAAATATATAGGGAGGGAACACACATATATCTTCTGTGTATGTCGCCCCAGATGGCAGATGCAAACAATTGTAGCCTCCATTTCACCTGCCATTTTTTCCATGATGCTGAAATGCGATCAGTCTTATCTAATGAGGAGATTAAGTCAAGGGGAAGAAAGATAGTGCAGAAGGAGTGGAAGAGAATGAGGAGAAACAGACAGAGGTGCACAGTAGGAAAGCAGATAAGCCTGCTGGCTAGTGTTGACCTGTAGAACCTTCTAGAAACACTCCAAAAAGCTCTATTTCTCTCTAAAGCAACATAGGAGAAAGACATCTTCATTTCTTTATGCCATAGTTAGGATAGAAAAACATAATTACATAGTGTGAGTACTAAGCCACTCTGAGGATAGAGTCTTAAACTCTCTGGATCCAGAGACTTAAGTCTGTGCATGTAGAGAAACACTGGCCACACTTAATTCCACTTACCTGACCCTGAGTAACTTCCTAGCTGGGGTGACACGTGAGGGGGCTGCAGGGATATAAAGCTGAGCACTGCAAGACATGTGAGGGGAGTGACTGTGGAAGTTTGTATTGTTGAAGATAAAGACTTTTTTTGGACTGGCAGTGTAAAATCAAGAGAGTTGATGCATGCCAAACTTGGATGATTCCCCAAAATAAGCTTGTCTTACACAGAAAGCAGCAAACCACTATCCCATCCCTTATGACTTTTAATCTGTAAAGTTTTGTGTAACTTCACCGCCTCAGGCTAGTTTCTATAATTTCAGAATTTATTTATTTATTTAGAGACCGTCTCACTTTGTGGCCTAGGCTGGAGTGCAGTGGCGTGGTCTCCGCTCACTGCAATCTCCATCTCCCAGGTTCAAGCCATTCTCCTGCCTCAGCCTCCTGAATAGCTGGGATTACAGGTGCCTGCCAGCCTGAATATAGACTCTAAACTTCCATCGGCTTCTCTAGGAACAAGATTAGGTAATAATAACTATGTTCACTAATAGTTTCTTAGATTTCCTTTATTCATAGACAACTGTGTAGCCACATAATCACTTTAGAAATAACACATGACTAGGCTTTTTATCTACCTTATCTCATACAGTTTTAAAATGGAGTGTTTTCCCTGCACCTTCTTTTTTTTTTTTTTTTTAAACATCATCCTCCCAAAGTGCTGGCATTACAGGCATAAACCATCGTGCCTAGCCAGACATATTATTTTTTAACTCTTGCCTTGGCCTTTGTTCAGACTTGTGTCATAAAGTCAATTAGTCATTGCTAGATAATGTACACGGTTTCTGAGCTGGTTTTGAAAAGCAAGGAGTGGGAGTAATCCAATTTGTGATGCAAACTTTGTTTACCAGAAGGTTTGTTTCCAGATGGTAAACAAAGTGTTTGCCCTTATAGAAAAGTGTTTGTCCTTCACTTCCCATACAACTGAAGGTGAATGCACATCAGAACAGCCACAGTCCCGGAAGCTTCTCCGGGCCTTGGTGCATTGTTATGGAGATGAGCTTGTGCTAAAGATGGCTGCAGGTGCAGCCAGGAGTCCCTGGAATATGCAGAAAGACTCCTGGCTTTGTGTAAATTGCTCCTAGCTGATTCAAACAGTAGGCAAAGGGCATTGATTCAGTAATTGTGGACAAAACTGACATCTGTCCTCCGTTTCTTGAGGAGGTCTGAAACTTTTTTTTGAAAGGTTGTATTTTTAGGACAGTTTTAGGCTCAACATAAAATGAAGAGGGAGATGCAGAGATCTCCCACACACCCTCTGCCCCCACCTGCACAGCCTCCCTTATAGGCACCAGCATGGCACGTTTTTTACAATGACTGAATTCACATGCCATTATCATATGGACTTCACAAATACCATAGCTTACACGAGGGTCCACTCTTGGTGTTGTGCGTTCTGTGGGTCTGAACAAATGCCATCCATCCACCATTATAGTATACACAGTATATTCACTGTTCTAAAAATCCTCTGTGGGTCTGAAACGTTTTTGTTGTTGTTTTGGTTTTGGGGTTTTTTG